AGGGTTAAGTGAGGGCCATCATTTATCCTGCAAACCTCTCCAAAGTTCAGATTGTTCCTGAACAACCAAGCATTTCAAACCCCAACCATCATGATGAATTCACTGTTACGGTAAGGAGAAAGTGTTAAATCCTGTGGAGGCATACAGGCGTTAGAGATTAAATGACATTTTCCAAATTGCACTTGAGAATGTTGTGTGCCAATTAAACCTTTGAGTCTCTACCTTGTTCATAGTACTTGGGATTCAGGTTTATGAATAGCATACAATTCTTGTACCCCATTGCAAGAAAAGATATTTCCACTTATAAATTATCCATGCAAACTGGCTTAGAATTTGAGAAAGGTTTTGAAAAAGACCTGACAGCTCTTAATATAATTTGAGGAATTACCTGTTATAGACCAAAAAAATCAAAAATCAAAGTCAATTAAAACATATCCAAAGAGGTTGTAATTAGGATTAATCAAAGCTCCTGATCTATTCCTGATAAGGAGTAAGCTAAGATTTAATTTTAAAAAATCATGAAGAAATAGGTTATGGTTGGACATCTACTCTTAAAGAAAAAATATTCAATGACACTTGTTAAAGACGGGGTAAGGTAGACTTTATTCAGGACCATGAGGATAGTTATAGGAACCACTGCAATGGGATTGGACAGTAGGAGAGAGATGCAGCTTAACTCTGGATGCAGCATGGGCAAGTGCGAATTTACAGCCCAGGAGCAGGGTAAGGATCAGTGGCTGGAAAATGACTAAGAGAAAACAACAGGGTTAACGGGAGTTCTGGCTAAACTGACCTAACAGGATTCTTGCTGAAAATAGGCCGGGATGATCAGACACCACCTGGGGGAGGGTGGTGGATGAGGAACCCCATCAGATAATTGAGGATGATCAGATATTGAAGATGATCAGATACTGAGGGTGGGGGTTCTAGTTAAAGTGACTTAGCAGGGGTCTTGCTAAAATCGGATTTTACAAGGAACATAGGCCTGGGAGAAGGTTTGGGAGACTGACTGAAGTTTGGTCAAGCAGAGAAGCTTTGTCACTACCTCACATGTTTCTGGTTACATTTCTAAGAGCTTTCCAGGACTCTCTCTGTCCCAGCACTCAGTCTAGAGAAGAGCCTAGTCAACAGTTGACTAAGCTCATAGCAATTCTGCGAAACTGGAAGGCCTAGGGAGGGTACAAGGCGCAGACTTGAAAAGTCTTACACTTCATGATTTCTCCTGTGTACAAAAATAGGAACGGACGGCAGCTAGCGAGGCCTGAGCACCCACACGCGGCGGGGCACCTGACATCCATCCTCACGTCTGTAACCACGAGAGAGGAGTGGGCCAGGAGGGGTGGCCACTGTTCAGGTCTGAAGCCTGGAGCCCACGCACTTGCACCTCACTGCTCGGCAGCACCCGAGCAACCGGAGAAAACGCGAGTGAGGTTGTGCGGGTTGTTTATGGCGACAGGGAGGACTGGAAAGGGATGGGGTGCCCAGAGAACGCGACAGTGTTGGGCTCTTGCAGATGGCCTCCTTCACCCTACTTATCCTGATAGAAGGCCCCAGAAGGGGCGTGGAAGGGAGCAGAGCAATGGGGAGAAGGGTCACGAGTTAAAGCGGCCGCAGGAGGGAGGATGCCACGGGCGGCGACTCGCGGCCGCGGGATCACGTTGGACTCTGGACTGAGCCGAGCCTCAGAGGCTTCTAGAGCGGCGCGCTGACATGCCGCGGCCCCCTGCAGCTGTGAAGACCTGACGCCCCCCGCCGGCCCGCTGACGCTGCTCCCCCGGCTTGTCCAGTTGTCCCTGCTGGGCGCTCCCTCCGCGCGCCTCGGGCCGCAGGTGAGTCAAGCCCCGCACTGCCCGCAGGCATCAGGTGTCGTGGGAACCCAGGGAGGGACCGAGATGTCACGAGCCGCCGGTGACAGAGCGGTAGGGTCCGGCCCCAGGCCGAAGGCACCATGGAAGGGACACAGGTGGGCGCAGGGCACGAGTTGCAGCAGTTCCGCACAGCGCCCGCGCGGCCGCCCGGGCAAGGTCAGTGGTGGCCCCTGGCGTGCCCCCCAGGTCGGCGTGCCCGCGCCCCGGTTAGCCTGGACCCGAGCTGTGGCGGCCGGGAGGCAGGGATCCGAGAGCAGAAAGTCGCCGGCGGACCAGAGTCTCGCCTTGAGAGGCCTGGGGACGGGGCGGTCGTTTGGGTGTGGCCGGGGCTCGAGATGGTCTGGAAGTTGCACAGCCAGCCTCTCTGGACTCGGAGTGTGCCTGTATTAGGCGCGTGGGGGGCGGATGGAAATGGGAGCCAGAGTCAGGGTCCCTGCGCTGGGCGACAGCAGCCCCCGCCCGCCCGGGTCGTCTAAGGAGCTGGGGCGCACGGCTGGGAGGAGGGCGCGCTGCTGCGGGCCGCGCTCCGGGTGACCGCGCAGCGCCCCCCGCGGCTCCCCGCGCCCGATCCTGAGAGCGCAGTCAGTCTAAAGGCTCGTTTTGTTTTAAACAAGAGGAAAAGAAAGAAAAAGAGACTGAAGTTTTGTGTTTGATGAGAAAGCGCTTCTGAAGAAACTGAGTTGCGTTACTTTTGTCGACTGTGAGGCTTTTACTATTTACACACATTTCCCGGTTTCCTCTAATTTTCTGCGCCTCAATCCAATCAAGCCTCTCTTCGTCAGGAATAAATAACCTCTGTGTGTTAGTTTGTAGATTCTAAGAGCACGCCTAATACCTCGGAGAGACTCTCCCCCGGCCCTGCACCCTGCACCCTGCGCGGCGCTCCGCTGGGTGGGGGTGGGGGCGTGGAGCTGGGGAGCACTCCTTACGCGGCTGGGGGTCTGGACAGGTGGCAATTTTTAAAGTGCCACCTCGGAAGGGCTTCTGTGACGCGGTAAAGCTAACATTTGCAGCGAGTTGAGCGGCCATTCCTTGTGAATGAAATGTCTTGGTTCCGGGACAACTTGGCGCGATGCGTTGAATAAATTAATTGTGGTTGGCTCGTTTTCTCTTTGTTCCCGTGGGTTACTGTTACACGGTGTGTGGCTGCTTTGTTTAAAGTTTAATTTTCCCTTGACCAAAATAGAAAGGGCTTCATGTGACCTCAAACTTGTAATTCATCAACGTGCTTGATAAGTAACTGCTTCATTATTATCTTGGTGTTCATATGCGAATTTCAGTGAACAAAAATCATTTTTAATTTAAATCCCATAGATAAAGTCTCTTTAAATGCTGGTTAAAATAGCATACCTTTTTGAAGAAGGAAATAAAGCGTTCTTGAGTGAAAAGTCTAAGAGATTGAGAACTTTTTTCTCTCCCTTATGTCTTTACCTAAGAGTTATTGTACTCATGCTTTGACAGGCATTTTAACACATACATGAGCCACACTTTATTTTATTTTATTTTTTTAATATTTGTGGGGTTTTTTAATTTTAATTTTTTTTTTAGGAAGATTAGCCCTGTGCTAACATCCACGACCAATCCTCCTCTTTTTGCTGAGGAAGACTGGCCCTGAGCTAACATCTGTGCCCATCTTCTTCTACTTTATATGTGGGATGTCTGCCACAGCATGGCTTGCCAAGCGGTGCCCTGTCCGCATCCGGGCCTCCGAAGCAGAACGTGTGAACTGAACTGCTGCGCCACCAGGCCAGCCTTGAGCCACGCTTTAATAAGTTCTGTCGTATTTATTTCATTTCATTATTTCATAATTGTTTCATTTCATTAATTCAAGGTATTACATATGCTATTGTAAATATCTTTTATGCTTTATTGACTCAGCAACATCCTTAATAATCTTTTCATTAATCAAGCATTTAAAAACTTTTCCTATGGCTAGCTTTTATAGCCAATGTCTATTGTTTGGAGATGATGGGTTTGCTAAGAATGTTTGAGTCAGAGCCCAATGTGAGGTACTATTCTTGGAAAGCAGCGTGGTACCTAAACAGTGACTTGTTAGATATTGTATTAATATGGTTTCAATTTCCCCCCATTGATCTGCAATTGGAAGTTACTGTAAAAATTTCAAACAGAGCCAGCCTTTCTAGTCTCGATGGAAGAACTGTATTGGTCCCAGTGGTCTGGGGTATTTTATGTTGAACAGGTTTCCATAATACTAATGTTAATCTGAGGGAAAATCCAAGATAGGTCCCAGCTTCTGGAGTGACTTCTGTGCCATTTTGGAAAAGCTGACTATGAAGACAATAAAATCAGCCCCATCCTTTTCAAAGGGACAAAACAAATAATAGGTATGAAGTACTTTGAAAAGTAAAATGTGCTACATAAATATAAGGCCTTCAGTGAAAAGCAAATGCAAGTGGCATGGCTGATTGGGATTTGGACTTAAATTCAGCTGCTGCGTTTCCCTTTGTAGAACAGTCGAGTCGCCTGAGGCTCACACCGCCCCTTAAGAACCTTGTTGGCTGTTTAGGAAGCTATCTGTCTGCTGGGCTGTACGGAAACTGAGGCTGCTCGCTCGGTGTTAGACCCTAGGCAAGGGCTTTATTTGCATTCTTACTTAATGCTCAGTAGAATCATATCTTGTTTCTCTACACCACATCTGCTACCTTCGACTTAGTGCTTTTAAACTTTTTTCGATATTCTGATGAAACTTTAAGTATCTCCCCAGGAAAAATGGCCATATCCACATATACACAAAATTTTGCACATAATTTCAGGGTCCCCCTACCCTCTGAAACCCTTCCCTGGCCTTTCACGTCACCATGCTCTAACTGTATCTATTACTGAATGAGGCAGAAAGCATATACATACTCTATATGCACATATAATCTTTTACTGATAGAAGCAGCCCTTGAATTTGGTAACTCTCAACTGGGTGACTTAGTAACTGAAACAAAAAGAAAAGTGATGTGTTACATTCTAATTGATCTGTGGATGTCTAAAGTGCAGTTTAGAACAATGGTGCTTATTTGAAACCAGACCTTTTGTTTCAGCTTCTTCAACTATCCTGCTATAACTAAGAATGTGGATTTGTGCCTTTACTTACAGAATGGAAACATTTTTTTTCCCCTAGAGATGTCAAATCTTGAGGTTGTTATAAGTAGCTGCAGCTCCTGTGAAGACGAGAATGCCTGCACTTGTAACCAGCATACGACTCCCTCTGAGAAGCTTCTGTTAGAAGACCAGATGCGGCGTAAACTCAAGTTTTTTTTCATGAATCCTTGTGAAAAGTTCTGGGCTCGAGGTAGAAAACCGTGGAAACTTAGCATACAAATTCTAAAAATTGTAATGGTGACTATTCAGGTAAGCATCTCAGATGGTGAGTTTAGTGAAGTCCTCTTTCATTAACAAAGAGGACTATGGACAGTGGTTTTTTAATAACTTTTAAACTGTATGCATAATAGAGAACAATGAATAAGGAAACATACAATCTTAAACCCTTCTCTTTTCAATATTTGTGAAAGAAGACTTTGGAGATTTCTTCTTACTTTTTTCCTTCTCATCTTTCATTAAGTTATAATTTTAGTCACATCATGTAATTAGTTTTCAGGAAAAGAACATTTTATTATTTGGCTTACAATAGAAAGGTTTAGCTGAAGGTTTCTAAATCAGAAATGGAAACAAGCTGTTACCCAACCAGAGGATTCTTTTTCTTCCTAGTTAGTTTCCTGGGAATTTCTCCCTCATTGGAAACTTCAGGGGTTTCTGTTAAGCAAGTCCTGATTCTCACAGCCCTGTAATCATGGCAGACCTGCAGCAGGAGAAGGTAGGTTAACTAAAAAGGAGTGGCATTAGGTAGTGAAATGTGAGGCTTCATTTTAGGGCTTTTTGAATTTCCTTTCCTTGACTTCTCTTAACATTGTTTGGGGAGACTATATTTTGTGATCCTTTATATACACTAGTTATGCTTTACTCTTGTGAAGATAGGATTTCCTGCTGGTGAGAGTAACTATCTCTTGTTAAAAGCAAAAGGGCAAAAATGCAAGCAGATTTTAATAGGAAAAATAGATGTGATCAGTTTATTTTTTATCAATACTTTCTCTTCTTAACTTGGTGGAAAAATGCATGTTTGATTATTCAAGGAGAATTTTTTTTTTAAAACTCTGAAATTACTAATCTTTTTTTTAAAAAAAATTTTGTTTTTTCCTTTTTCTCCCCAAAGCCCCCCAGTACGTAGTTGTATATTCTTCATTGTGGGTCCTTCTAGTTGTGGCATATGGGACACTGCCTCAGTGTGGTTTGATGAGCAGTGCCATGTCCGCGCCCAGGATTCGAACCAACAAAACACTGGGCCGCCTACAGCGGAGCGTGCGAACTTAACCACTCAGCCACGGGGCCAGCCCTGAAATTGCTAATCTTAACTGATTATTGAGAACAAAATGTTATTGAGAAAGAGTGTTAGAAGCTAAGACAATCTCTATACTCACGTGAAGTTGGCAGAATTCCTGCCTCTCTCTGATGCTAGATGTTGTCTTAAGGAAACCAATATTCGAGTGATTACTCTGTTGTTCTAGGACAGTACTTCATTTAATTCCATCAACACTCCTATTGGATAAACACTAGCATCCTTCATTTTACAGAAGAAGAAACTGATGTTTATAGAGTTTTTAAAAAGCCGCATGGCTAGTCACTGGTGGAATCAAGACATTAGAGGCCAATGCTCTCTCTCTATCACCACGAAAACGGATGTTCAATTCTCGGTATAATATTTGGCAAGTTGGAATTGAAATTCTTAACTTTCAGATGATAATACAGTGTGTCACGATAGTGAAAAATTTATCTGTACTGTTTCTGATGAGTAGGGAGAAAAGCCTATATCAGTTGAATGTGGATATTTTCTACTTAGAATGATAGGTACCTCTTGAGTGTTTGCTGTGTTTTGGGCTAAACGTGTTACAGGCATCATCAAGTTCAATTCTTAAAACAAATCAGAGGTGGGTAGTGGTACCCCCATTTCACGGATGAGAACACTGAAGCTTAGTGGAGTAAAATAACCTGTCATAGGCAGGAAAAGAAGAGTGGAAGTGAGCTTCAAATGCAGATTTATTCCGTCTAAAACTTATGTTCTTAATTACTCCTTAATCTTTTAGGGAGCTCATCTAATCTTCCTGATTTCCTAGGGTGATCAAGAGGAAAATTGACCAATGGTTTAAGATGTTTAAGCCTGTTAGGAATAAGCGAGTAAAAGGCACTTAATTAAGATTCAAAAGGAACTGAGGATTTCTTAATTGTGATGTTTCCTTAATTTATATCTGAGAAATCAAGCAAAAATACATAAAGACAACTTTGTAATTGAGCAAATGAGGGTGATTTGGTGACAGATTTCCTCTTTTCAAGGAAAAAAAAAGGTAGTCTTTCTGTTAAGTTGGAGACTTTTGTGCTTGCAGCAGCAAAAGAAGGATGTCTGTGACATTAGGCGCCGTACTAAAAGTTTCCTTTTTCCCACTACCTGGCTCAGGATCTGAATTATCACAGCTCTTTCTCTGCCATTGGTTCTCCTGTCTGCCACTAGGCTTTGAGGGCAGAGCCTGTAGTCTTCTCATTGTATTCTCACTACTTAGCTCAGGGCTGGCCTGTGGGAGGTACTCCTGTATTTGAATGAATTGGCCAAGACTTTGTGGTCATCAGCTTCAATAGATGTAAAATCCATGAAATATCAAGCTGTCATCTTATTGAGATTTAAATAGGATACTTAGCTTTAAGAGGCTCTTAGGAAATGGGAATTGAGTTAGGTAGAGACTGATTACGTGGGTAGGGTGCAAAGCATACATCACAAGGGGAGGTGATGGGAAAAAATTTGTCTCCTCCCTCTTTTTTCCTGATCTGAGCCTGGATTATTAGCATGGTAGGGTGGATAGAGCTTGATTGAGTCTGTTAGACTTGGGTTCAAATTCTTACTATACACTTGCTAGTGATGTGACTTTAAAAAATTATTTAACTTCTCTGAGCCTTTATGTACTCATCTGTAAAATGGGTATATTAGGAACTATACTGTGGAATTAGTATGAGGAAAATTCCTGGAATAACGTAGGGCACATAGGTGCTCAGTGTTGTTCCCCTTTTCCATATGAAATTCACCCTGCCTCACTCTGGGGTCTAAATCAGAGTGTATGTTCTAAATTCACAGCATATGTGTGTGTGTCTGTGTATGAGAGAGCGAGACCAAAAGCAAGAGTGAGAGAGATTGAGGCATCTTGGGAGGGAAGAGAAGGTGAAAGAGAGACTCAGAGTACAGTAACGTTTGGGGTATGATTGAACGATCTTATGTTAATAGGTCAGCAGTGCAGTTAGACAACTTTTGTGTGTGTGAACCACTGAGTTTCACGTTAAACTCTGGGGTCAATCTTGCCTGAATATTAAGGATATATTATAAATATTCTTTAATTTAGGGATGAGTGGAAAGGATATTTTTACTTGTCGTCTTATTGTCACAGTTTTGGTAATTAGACCTAGGAATAGTGTTTGAAGAGCTTAGACTAACGGTATTTCTTACATTGTGTGGTGTACCTGTTTCGTGCCCTTCTTGATGTCTCATGGAATTCATTTTACACTCTTCCACATGCTGTTCAAGCCCCTGTACCATCTGCCCCCACTTTTTCTGCTCGCGTTTTTTTCCTGCTGTTCCTCTGATTGTTATGCTGGTGTCCTCGTGGCCCCTCAAAGTGCCAAGTTCTACTCCACCGTTCCCCCGTGCTCGTCAGATGCCCCCTGCCCAAGCGATGCACATACTTCAGGCTTTCTATCATACTATTTCCTTAAGGAAACCTTCCCATTTCTCTAGCCAAAGTGACTTTGCTTTTGTGAACTCCTAGAGCTTTTAATGGTGGAGGCAATGTCATAAGTGACATCATACGTGAAAATAAATGTTGAAAACATGCAAAGCCACTTTCTCTCATGTTCAAACTGGAAACACATCTTATCGTTAAGAAGAAATTAATTCACAGCTACCAAAAGTTTAATTTCTGTTGAATGTATTTGGGATCAATTAGACTTTGAATAGATAAATTGATCATTATATGGAGACCTGTATTTCATTGCTTTTTCACCTTCTTACTTTTTCTTTTAAGCTGGTCACATTTGGGCTAAGTAACCAGATGGTGGTAACTTTCAAGGAAGAGAACACTATTGCATTCAAACACCTCTTCCTGAAAGGTTATGTGGACGGCATGGATGACACATATGCAGTGTACACACAAAGTGACGTATACGACCAGATCACCTTCGCGGTGAACCAGGTAAATCAAGCACGTTCATTCCTTACTCGGGAGAAAGAACAGACTGGAAAATTGTTAGCAATGTATATAACAGAAACCGACATTCATGTGTAAAAGGGTGGACATTTCTGTAATGACATGTATAAAACCATTTTAAAATTGTTTTTTAAAAATATTGCCAACAAACTTTTACAAAACTAGAAATTGAGAAAAGCTTTTGTTTAGTAACAGAGAGACAGAAACTTTAAAGACTTAATGAGACGAATCAAAGCTAGGGCTTGGCATGGGAGCCTCAAGATTTAAAATTATTACCCATGGCCCTGGTTGTAAGTAGTCATTAGGTCTTCAGAGTTTATACTTTCGGGGGCCCTTAACAAATAATGAGAATATTAAGTTTGCAGAGTATATATAGTAACCAAGACCTGAAAGTTCATTTAAAAAATAGTAAGGCCTTTGTGTCATGCATGACAATGATTTTATTGTAACATTGATTAACTGCCAAAAAAAGAGTAAGCTCCTTTTTCATACAGATGAGTCAAATTCCTATTCTGAGTTTCTAATCAGTTCGTTTTTGCTAAAACAGTTCTTTCCTGAGATCCTAAATCTCTTGTTTTGTAGGTATCATTGAAAGTGTTTTTGAAGTCAATATTTCCAACCTGGGTTAGCTTGCAGACCACATTTCAAAATTATGACAACCCTTCTTCAAAAAATTATTATAGCACAATTGTGGCTTCATTATCTAGAGACAATCTATGCACAGTGAGATAGTAAACTGCCAGGATAAATACCAAAGCTTTCTGTTAGCATTCAGATTGTGAAAATTGGCCAGAAATCTATAGTAATAGAAGTCAGCTGCCTACGTTGTTAAAGAGAATTATGTCCTACAATTTGCAAAGGGAAAAAATAGTATAATGCTGGAGACAGTCAGTTTTGAGATTTTTGTTTTAAGCATATTAAGTGTCTCTAAAGCTACTCTGAACCAAATTGGTAGTTAGGTTTTTTGGACATTTTTTCAGGCATTTTTAGCTGAAGGTAGAAAGTATCTTGATCACGATTTTCATGAATATCTTCAGTTTCTGTGGTTAATGAGGTCGGTTATTCGACACGATTCCAGAGAAATGAAAAGGGACGAAACAGACTGATATTAAAGAAGGATCTTTTTTTGCTGTAAGGAAATCCCTTGATAGTTGAAGTGATAGTCACCTGGGGAACTCACAGATAAGACAGTGCCTTCTCAGCCCTTTGATGTATTTCCATGACTAATTAGTTATCCTGAAGGTTTAGCCCCAAGCTGTGGTCTAACTGGATAATGTCTATGGCTCATCCTGAGCCAACACTGGTTATAACAGCACCACTTTCTCTTTATTATATATGATTATATATTTGAATGTCAAAGACCTAGTTATTTTATTTTCGCCCTATATCCTGGCTTTCCTCAATCATTTTCGGGACATCTTTACTGGGTTCCTTTCTTTCGCCAGCCCCTTAAATTTAGGCAGTCCTCAAAGGTTTGTCCTCTTGTTGCAGCATTTCCTCCACTGCACAGCCTCAGCCGTCACCAAGGCGAAGTGACTCTGAAACAGCTGCTCACACTGCTGTGTGCCAGCCAGCTGTCCGGCGCCTCAGAACAAGCCCGTCCAAAGCAGGTCCACGTTCTCTCCCCATCTGCTCCCAGACCTGTTTATCTTTCTGGTCAGTTAGATTTAAAGACCTCAGTGTCTTGGAATCGTTTACTCTTGAAGCTCAAGTGTAGTCTTTAAATTCCTACTTCTGGATGGCTTCCTTTCTTCCTCACCCATCTGCCCTACTACTCTTTGGCTGCTTTCTAGAGAATTCACCTAAAATCACAGACGTGATTGCATAATACTCCTCAGTATATATGTGTGTGTGTGTGTGTGTGTGTGTGTGTGTGTGCAAACAGTGTTCAGAGACACAGCTTTTGGTATGTTTATTCCATGAAGGCAAAGGTACATACAGGCACTCAGATGTTTGTGAATGAATGAATGAGCCTAAAAGGCTCATTTTATGTGTTAGGATCAAGTGGTCACAGAAGGACTACAAACAAGCAATCTGTAGTCAAGGAGCAATGGGTTTGAATCTGCTTTACTCTGGGTACCACATCACTCAGGTAAGGACCGTTAATGTGTATTTTTATTGTCCCCCATAAGATGACCTGGACCCATGAATCTGTGTGAAAAACTCCTTCTCTCAAGGCAGGGCTGCAGAGGCAAAAGGGGACAGTTGCCCAGCCCGATTAAAGACTCACAGAGGCCACAGCCACTTAGGTGCCCGATTGGTCAGTCCCACAGGTCACCTGCCTTCTAGCCATGGGCCCACACCACATTCATGTCCCAAGGTCCTCTGGCTCAGGCTTCAGTGCTGCCCTTTAGCTGGACACGGCTCTGCCACGTGCCCCAGCCCACCCAGCTCTTGCAGGTGCTCAGACCTCCACAAAGAGCCTTCTTAGGACAGCAAGGGAGTCTGGCCATGGCATAGCTTATAATGGTCACAGGTACCCCAGCCCTGTGCCCCAGATCTTTTGTGTGTCAAGCTCTTACAAGGTTTAAGACACTCAAGTTTCTGTGGTCAAGAGGTTCAGATCTTTAGGTAGTTCTTGTGGAGATAGTGGGCACTGAGAAAGGTTCCAGGGCCCCATACAGGTGTGACTCTCCTTCTTGACCCCTGTTGGCCTTTCCAGCGTTACCTCCCGTTATACACCCCACATTCCAGGCACACTGGGCTGGTCTACTTGGTGCCTTACCACACTTAATATCTTTTACCTTCTTTTCCACGTAATGGACTATCTATCCCCCCTCCTGCCCCCCAATATAAAACTACCAATTTGGCTCAGAGTAGTTTTAGAGAGACTTAATACACTTCTTTCCTTGAATAGAAAACAAAAATCTCAAAATGAACATCTCCCGCGTTATACTATTTCCCCCCTACGTGTCAGCCATTACGCTATTTAACTTATGCTGCTTACTTCCATTCCCATAGATTTCTGGCTCACTTTCTCAATCCCAGTGCTAACAGAAAGCTTGTGGCCGTAATCACATATTCTGTCCTAGCCTTTCCCCATCTCACTGTGCATAGATTATCTCTAGTGAATGCAGAGCCATATACTAATTTCTTACCTCACCATTAGTTTGACAAATATTTGAGCACCTCCTCGGTGCCTCCTATGTTCTAAGTGCAAGTGTTAGAGCAGAGGACTTGAGGAATTCCTTGCCCTGTGGAGCCTACATTCTATTCGAGGAGATGGATTTTAAACAAGTTTAACTGAAATCATTTGATTTCAGATAGTGATAATTGCAATGAAGTAAAATAATGTAGCTTAATACCCAGTGACCTCAGGGTGGTCAGAAAAGGGCTCTCTGAGGACTGAAGCCTGGGGAAGAGTGTTCTAGGCTGAAGGGTAGCAACTGCAAAGCCTCTGGAGGCCTGAAAACATTTAGTATGTTTAAGGAAATGCAAAGGAGGCACGTGTGGGTAGGCTAGGCCTCTCCAGGCTTTATAGGCCCTGGAAAAGAGCTTTAAGGTTTAGTCTTGGAGAGACAGGAAACCATGAGAGGGCCTTCAGTAAGGGAGAGACTGTAATGTACATTCGCAAAAGCTAACATCATTTATTCACCCAAATATTTAGCATCTGTTATGTATCAGATTTTTTTTTTTATTTTTTGCTTTTTGCTGAGGAAGACTCACCCTGAGCTAACATCTGTTGCCAATCTCCCTCTTTTTTTATGTGAGCTGCCTCTGCAGCAGGGCCACTGACAGACAAGTGGTGTAACCCTGCACCTGGGAATGAACCTATGCCACCGAAGCGGAGTGTGCTGAACTTAACCACTTGGCCACCGGGGCTGGCCCTCACATGTTGTTTTTGTGCAGGGATACTGCCCTGAATCGATAGACCAAGTCAAGGATCATATTCCAAAAGGAAGAGACAGGCAGTAATGAAGTATACAAGGATATCATCTGTCAGTTGGTTATAAGCACTGTGAAAAAAAGCCAGGCAGAGTGAATGAGTCGAGGTGGTCAGGAATAGTGTGAGCAGAGAGCAGACAAAAATGTGGGAGGCAGCTGTGGCTGTCTCAAGGAAGAACCTTCCAGAGAGAAGGACAGCAAGAACAGAGTCTTGAACAGGTTCGTGTTTTATGTGTCCCTGTTCTAAGGGCTTTCCCTGCACTAATTCACTTACTCCTTGTAACAGTCCTCGAGTTAGTTCTGTTTGGAGTCTAGACTGTGGTGAGAGGTGGATTGGAAGCAGGAAGACCACTTAAGAGGCTTAATTTCTTCAGGTGTGAGATGCTGGTGGTGTAGACCAGGGCAATAGCAGTGAAGGTGACGAGAAACAGTCAGTTTGGGGATATAATTTGAACGTAATGCATGATTTTTCTGATGGACTGGAAGTGGAGTATGAGGGAAGGAGACGAAAGGATCATTCCTAAATTTTGGCCTGAACAGCTCTCGACTTATGGAGTCATTTATTGAGAAGGGAATTATTGTCGAAGGAGCCGGTTTTTCTGTTTGCATGTTTACATTTAGGATTCTTCTTAGACCCCGTAGGAGTCATGTAGGCAGATTGCTATCTGTGTATGGAATTCAGTGGAGAGGTCAGGAAGTGTAAATTGGGAAGTGGTCAGCATTTAAATGGTGTTTAAAACATGGGACTGGTTGAGACCATTTAAGCAGAGAATGTGGATAAAGAGGGCTAGGACTGAATCCAAGGGCACTCCCAGATGTACAGGTTGGCAAGAGGAGGCTTCAGCAAAGGAGACTGAGAAGTAACCAGTGTCCCAGAAGTTGAGTGAAAAAAATATTCCATGAAGGAAAAAGGAGTCCCCTGCAGCAAACACCATGGAGAAGTGGAGTTAGATGAGGACTGAGAGCTAAAAATCAGATCTGGTAACATCCTGCTCATTGGTGCCCTCGACAAGGCCCAGCTCAGAATCCCTCCCATAGGCCCAGATTATAAATGATTTCCTTCATTTATTATAGAATGTTTCACATGCATCTTTTAGGAGAGTTGTTTATTTATGTGTCCATCCCACTAAATTCATTCCAAGAGACAGATGCCAGTATCCCTATCTTTGTATCACCAATTGTGCCAAACAATGTTGTTCATAGCAAGCTCGGAAACACTGAGTTTTGTGTCTTCCATCTATAGAAATCATTAAGAATTCAAGTTGACAGTTATTCCAAGGTACCATAAAATTCATTTGTAAAATTAACATTTTGTTTTATTTAGAGGATTCACTGGGACAGGAGAATATTGCTATAAAAGTAACTACACTGCATTCATACAAAGATAAAGATTAAAAAAAAATTTTCCTAGAAGAAGTTTTGCTAGTTAGCCTGGAACAATTATGTTCCACCTACTATATCATGGTAGTAAAGCAGAACTCTGACCTTGCAGAAAGCAGTTCAAAGAGGAAGAAAATTTGTATTCACACTGAATGTAAAATCCATTCCTGAACACAGTTCTTTAAAGGAGAAAAGAACCTCAGAGATTATGTGGTTTAAGCCTTTATTTTGCAGATAAGGAACCAGAAGCTCAGAAAGTTTGTGACTTGTCCGTGGTCACAGAAATGAGACTTGAACCCCAAACTCTGCCCTCTGCTGTCCTGGTGCACAACTTCCTCTGCAGATCACCATGAATGTCGCCACCTAGAGGGCAGATGGGACCTGCCAGTCTCAAAGGCAGGGAGGGAGGGAAATCAGGGCTTCACTTCTGCCCTGGCTGGTGTTCCTATTTTCTGTTTCTCTTTTTGGTTGAAGTACTTCAAGCTACGCAACATCTCAGTTGGGAATCATGCTTATGAGAACAAGGAGACGGAGCAGTCCGCGATGGCAATCTGTCAGCACTTCTACAAGCAAGGAAACATCTGTCCTGGAAATGACACCTTTGACATTGATCCAAAAATTGAAAATGGTGATATTCTTCTATAAGTTAGAACTTCTAGTTTTAGCCTCTTGATTTATATGTGAAGTCAGTCATTGCATCTCTAAAAACATTGATTTAGTCTCTGCTATTAGGTCATAGTAAGAACTATATAGGAATTATCATGTGTCAGATACTTTACTATAACTCATGTTCTTCAAAGAAAAAACACAAACACCAAAAAGCCCAAGAAGGCAAAGTTTATGATGATGCCCATTTTATAGAAGACTCAAGTATGGCTCAGAAAGTGAAGCGATCCACTCATGACGGAGCTAGTGAGAGGCAGTGCTGAAATTTGACCCAGCCTTTCTGTGCTCTAAGCCATTGTATTCTACTGCCTTTCATGCTGGAGAAGCGTTAAATAGACAGATATTGTCCTTATGAAACATTACGCTTGCAAATTCTTGATGTATATAAAACTCCCTCCCCTTAATAGCACTTCACTATTCAGTATCTTTAGGGGTAAGTTGGGGGCAGAATGAGAGCCAGAACTTAGAATAGCTCAGCTTATGCTTTTTTCTTTTTTTGAGGAAGATTAGCCCTGAGCTAACTGCTGCCAATCCTCCTCTTTTTTTGCTGAGGAAGACTGGCCCTGAGCTAACATCCATGCCCATCTTCCTCTACTTTATATGTGGGATACCTACCACAGCATGGCGTGCCAAGCAGTGTCATGTCCGAACCGGGGATCCGAACTGGCGAACCCCGGGCTGCTGAAGCGGAACGTGAGCACTTAACTGCTGCGCCACCAGGCCGGCCCCCAGCTTATTCTTATTAGTAAAGTTTTATTCGCAATTTGTACCTAAAACATTAGCTTAGGTTGTTGAGTTAAAAAACAAGTATTCAAATACTTTTAACAATATCCACCAGGACTTTTTTTGAGAGGGATAGTAAAGGATTACAGTACTAACTAGTGCAAACCTTCTAAGATACTGTCTTCCTTTTTCTTTTTTCTTTTGAGTGCTTATTGAGGAAAAATTATCAACACATAATATTTAAAGAAAAATAGATCCTTTAAACTTAGAAAATTTTGTCTTAGGCACCCCAAGTGCTTCAAACCTATGGTTAGAACACTAAAAAGAAAGAAGAGACTCAAAGTTTAGGTTTAAAGACGGGAAGGCAGATAGCATTCTATGGAAGACTAAACGAGAGAGAGTTCAGATCTTTCTCCATCCCTATCCACTCCAGAAATGTTGGAGCCACTGATAAAACAACATTTGTTGCTTTACAACATCTTAAAAACAAGCAAATCATTGTAACCAAGTAGTATGGATGCCTAGCTTATAAAATATTAATTCAGGAAAATACTGGAATCTGAATATGTAGTCTTAAATGTATTATCCTTTCAAGATGCAGTTTTACTTACTTTAGGTGCCATATTATATTTTGGTCCTTTCTGTGGCAGAATGTTTCTTTGTAGAGCCAGATGAATCTTTTCACCTCGGAACATTAGAAGAACATAAACTCAATTTAACGCTGGACTTTCACAGGTGAGGCACGCAGATGGGAGTGTAACTTATGCTCACGTGTATGTGTTTTCACTGCACTAAAGTCTCGTCTGTTTTCTAGACTCGTAATGGTGAAGCTGCAGTTTAAACTGAAGGCCATTAATCTGCAGACTATTCGTCATCAGGAGCTCCCTGACTGTTACAAATTTACCCTGACGGTAAGTGTGGGCCAGACGGAATTTGATTCTGGTCTGGAGAAACAATTGTTTTATCTAGTTATGTGTTTCATCTACTTGTATTAAGGTGTGATCAAATATATAGGATCTTTCCACGTGAATGTGCATAGGGGAAACATAGGTACAGCTAGCTCTGTTTTGTTATAATGACTTGTTTACTTGTTAATTATTTGTCTTCTGCACCTCAGTGTAAGTTCTATGATGCAGGGACCTTGCCTTGTTGACTGCTGTGTCTCCAGTACCAAGAACATGCCTGGCACAGACTAGGTGTTCAAATACAAAAGGAACAGAGGTTTTTAGCTTCTGTATGGTCAGCTCTTAGCAGTCTGTGGCTGTTTGCTTAAAGTCATTGCCAAGGGTTCTTGCTATTGGGTTTTCTCCCCATGGACATTTGCAGCCTTTGGGTTATTGCTCACAGCACCTTCCTTGTGCTGCCTCTGAACGCTCCGGGTAGTTCCTCCCCTTTCAGCCTGCCCACCCTATCACTTCTATGTTCTCTGGATTCCAGTTGCAAATGGAGCCATTAATGTTCTCTAGAGAGCACACGATGCCTCTCCCGTGAGTTCGAGGGCCAGAGGATCAGAGTCAGTAACGCAATGCTGAATGGGCATATGCAGGATAACATTCGATACAACTTGCCTTCATATGATCCACCTTTCTATTACTTTAGCAGTAGTTTATGTCAAAAGCTTTGTCACGATACTCACCTAATTGGCTGTAAGAAATCAAGTTTTCAGAGATTGAGGTTTAAAAAACTTTCAGAATATAGTATAATGTAATAATTATGCATATCATTTAACCAGAAAAAGCACTAAAATTATAAGACTATTTTGAAATAGGTTACAAATTTTGATCTTAATATTAACCAGCAGTTATGAATTTTCAATATTACTTGATTCTGAAAAAATTGAGCTATTATCCACAGTCTTGTCTCTTCTCTCCTCCCCACTCTTGAACTGAGAAATGGTACTTTTCAGAAGTTTTGTAATCCTTGAAGGCTTAGCTCACCTGACACCTCCTTTGTGGATCCTTTTGTGGTTCCTCAGAAATAAGTTCTGTGCTCTGAACTCCCAGGTTTTCTTTTTGTATTTTCTATGGGCTTAGCACCTTCTCCTTTGTTTCAGGATTTTCTGGGTGTTTTTCATTAATTCTGCTAGACTGAAAGCTCCTTGAAGGCAGGAACTGTTTCATTAATCTTTTCATCCCTCAAAGAACATAGTAGGTGACAAATATTTGTTGAATGAATAAATGAAACACTTGTGAAATCTAGGTCCTTTCCAATGACTCAATACAGTAGTGAAAGCCACCTGGCCTGTTAGCCACATGCAGATGTTGCATTTTCACCATTATTGTAGAGTCACCCCAAGCTGCGCCTGTGCCTTGTGGATTTAGCAGTGGATCTCATGGAACTGTGGGAGAACTTACATCCTATAGGGTAGTTTAATAATAAAAACCATTAGTGCAACTTCATTGTCATAAGTAAACATGAACCAGGACAGTATACCCCTGATATAAAATGCGGGGACTTCAGAGTCAGACAAGCCTAGATTTTAATTCCAGCTCACCAGTTAGTAGCTGTGTAACTTTAGGCAAATTACTTAATTGGTTTGAACTGCAGTTTTCTCATTTATAAAACAGAATTAATGTCCACCTACCTGAAAAGTTGTCAAGACAGAAGATAACATATATAAAAGATCTGCCTGAATATCTGGTATTTGGTAATATTTGATTCATTCAATAGCTGTTTATTAAACTTTTCCTGGGTGTGCCCAGTTGGATTCGTAGTGTAAAAGTACTGTATTAGCATTCATCCATACTAGTTTGATAAATTCTTGTATCACGTATTTTGAAGCTCTTTATTAGGTGTATAAATATCCAGGATTCTTGTGTTCACTTGATGAACTGACTCTCTTATCATTATGAAATGGCACTCCTTACCCCAGTAATATTCTTTCTCTAAAATTTACTTTGTCTGATGTTAATATAACCACTCCAGCTTTCTTTTGATTGGTGTTATCATTGTATATCCTTTTTCCATCCTTTTAATATTAACCTGTTTGTATCTTATATTTAAAGTGAGTTTCTTGTTAAACAGCATATGAGTCTTGCTTTTTAATCCAACCTCACAATCTCTACCTTTTAATTAGGGTGCTTAGACCATTTAAATTGCATGTGATTATTAATATTATTTCTCTCTTTTTCTGCTGTCTTTTGGTTTAATTGAATGTTTTTTGGATTCCATTTTATCTCATGTATTAGCTTATTAGCTATAGCTCTTTGCTGTATTAGTTCGGGGTTCATAGTACATGTTTACCTTATTATGGTCTGCCTTCCAGTGGCGTCATACCACTGCATGTAGAGAATAAGATCCTATCAACAATGTATTTCCGCTTCTCCCATCTTAGCCTTTATGTTATTGTTGTCATACAATTTACTTCCAGATCTGTTATAAACCACACAATACATTGCTATTATTTTTGCTTTAAACAGTTACCTTTTGAAGAAGTTTCAATAATAAGAAAAAAGTCTATATATTTGCCCATGGAGCTACCATCTCCAGCATGCTTCATTCCCTTGCGTAGCTCCAGGTTTCCAACTGGTGTCATTTTGCTTGTGTCTAAACATCTTCCTTTAACATTTCTTATAGTGTAGGTCTGCCAGTGATGAATTCTTTCAGTGTTTGTATGTCTGAAAAAGAATCTTACCTCCATTTTTTTTTAAAGATTGTCACCTGAGCTAACATCAGTTGCCAAATCTTCTTTTTTTTTCATCTTCTCCCCAACGCCCCCCAGTACATAGTTGTATATTCTAGTTGTAGGTCCTTCTGGTTGTGCCATGTGGGACGCCACCTCAGCATGGCTTGATGAGCAGTGCCAGGTCCGCACCCAGGATACGAACTGGCGAAACCCTGGGCCGCCGAAGTGGAGCATGTGAACTTAATCACTTGGCCACGGGGCCAGCCCCTTACCTTCATTTTGTAAAGATACTTTCACTGGTTATATAATTCTAGGGATTTTTTCCCCCTCATACTTTAAAGATGTTGTTCTTCCTGCTTACGTTGTTTCTGATGAAAAATCTGCTGTCGTCTTCACCTTTGATCCTCTGTATGGGATATATTTTCCCCCATCTGGCTGCTTTAAAATTTTTCTCTGTGTCTTTGATTTTAACTATATGATTGTGATATACCTTGGTGTAGTTTTCTTCATACTTCTTGTGTTTGGGGTTCATTGAACATCTTGGTTCTGTGGGTTTATAGTTTTCATTATAGTTGACCTTTACTCAGTATTATTTCTTCAAATTTTTTTCTCTCTCTTCCCCTACATTTCAGAGATTCCAATTACATTTGTATTTAGGCACTTGAAATTGTCCCACAGCTCACTAACACTCTCTTTTTTGTAGTATTTTTCAGTCTTTTTTCTCTGTGTTTCATTTTGGATAGTTTCTATTGCTATGTCTTCAAATTCACTTATCTCTTTTCTCTATTATTTAATCTGTTGTTAATCCCATACAGTATTTTGTCTTCTTTGTTTAAGGAATTCAGCTTCTTCTAAGCCTTAACTGAGACGTGGTTGACATTAGTCAAAGTATATTTACTCAACAGATATTTAGTGAGCACCTGCTATTTATAAGAGCCCGAGGCTCTTTGTGTGGGAAAAGCCCGGTTTCTCCTTGGCAAGGATTTCTGACTCATTCAAATAATACTGAGCATCTTCTTTGCAAGAGGCTGTGGGCTGGGTCCTCCAGCAGCATGGGGATGGGCAGACACTGACAATGCCCTTTGTTGCTTGTCAAGGAAAGAAACCTACAATCCAATATGAGGAGAAACAGAGTGACTAGATTCATTACATTTATTTGAAATCTTATATGTGAAGTGTTATCTGACTACCTCACATGAAGAAGCTTCAGTAAAACTCATATAAACGTCAGAATTAAAAGAACTTTTTTTCTTTAGGACTTGAAAGAGGAGGCACTAAAAAACCAAAAACCAAAAAAGAAAAAAACAAAAAAACAGACTAATTTTCTTGCCTTGCCTTTATGTTCCCCGTGTGAGGAAAGTGGAGGGAGCTAGAAGGGGAAAACAGTAGAAGGACTATGGAAGGTGTTCTGGCATGGCTTTGACCTGCTTGGTGCCAGGTGTCCGGAAATGGTTATCCTTGAAGCAAGACATGGCTGTCGGTTCCCTGGGACCACATCCTTTGTAATACATATGGTTCTAGAGTGACTTAGAAATCTAGGCGCAGAATGAAAATCGAAAAAGCTCCACCTGAAATCTCTCAAGACCAAAGTAATGAACCTCTGTGTTAGTACAAATTGCAGTAACACTAAAAATCTGTCCCCAGTTGAGGCCCTGCTGGAATGTGGGGAAAAGCACAGTTGAATTGGCTCCTGCTCATGTCAGGAGGGCATCTAGAGGTGCTGAGAATGGGAAGAAAGGGGAAATTCTCTTGTTCTAGAAGTCATCCAAGGCTAGACTACTGTCCTAGAAACATAGGATTTTAAAGATGGAGAAGTTCAACTTTCTTATTTCACAGATAAATGAAGAGAACGTTCCAAGGTTGAACAGAGTTAGTAATAGGTCAGGGAAGAGAATCTGGGTCTCCTGTTACCTTGAAAGAGCTGTTTTCTGATTAATGCATAGAAGTATCTCGGCTTCAAAAACTATAGGTATGTTTGTGACCGTGTTCCTGTTCTTCACAGATAACATTTGACAACAAAGCCCATAGTGGAAGAATTAAGATAAGGTTAGATAATGAGATATCCATGAGAGAATGTAAAAACTGGCATGTATCTGGATCAAGTAAGTGATGTATTTTATTAGCTTTCAAAATGTTTATTAAATTACTAGTCTCAAGGATAAGTAGAGCATCAAATGAAAGGATTGGATCATTCCCAGGTCCCTAATTCTCTGCAGGTAGATCAATTCAATTGTAGATACCTGATGTTCCAGGCAATACATAACTTATTAGTAACTGAAATGACTTTTCCTGCCTCTCCATGTGCCCTCACTGGCCCACTCCTTACCAAGAAAATGCTTACATCCCTCAGCAAAAAAATCACATGTAGTCAAGCCAATATTTATTGAGTGCTTACTGCATAAGTACTTCCACCTACATTTTCCTCATTTTAGTATTTTTAAATATCCTTGAGATAGGCTGCATCCCTATTTTTAAATATGAAGAAACTAAGGTTCAGAAGAGAAACTTAGTGTCCATGGTCATACAGCCAAGGAGAAGTCAAGTAGGATTTGACTCTGAAGCATCCCACACATTATAGCTGTCTTCTATCTGGGTCAAAAAAAGTAGACTAAATAAGGAAAGGGTATATTCCTAAAATATGGACATGAGGTCAGGTGTAGACTGAGTACCATTGAGAATTTTGGAGCTGATCTGGAGAAAATTGACTGGAAAGAATTTGTGTATCTCATTTTCTAGTCCGTTGTAAGTAACATAATGGTATGTTGTGCTTGACTTAATGAGTAGGTTGGGGGTCTTGGATTTTAGTGAGTGGGAGAATCATCGCAGGTACTTGCTACGAGGCAGTTCTCCCTAGTTTCACATAAGACAGTCAGTAGGTCTGGGGTGGGGCCTAGGAATGTGCAGGTGGTCCTTACTCATACCACACTTGGATAATAATTGCTTTAGGGTTTCCTACTGATTAACTCACCAAGTTCAGAAGTACTAATGAGATAGTAAGAGTAAATAAAATGAAATTTATTATTCCAGTATTCTTTTCACAATAGGTAACTTCAAATACATGAGGCTTTTGAATCAAAAATTTTATTTCAACCACAAAATTGTTTACTTGAAACACAATCCTGTTTTGTCATCTGTAAACATTGTAATACTTCTCCATGAACTTCAGAATAGGCAAAAAAAGAGCATGTGAAAGTGCTTGACACATAGGCTTTCTCTCAAATGTTTTTTTCTTGGTTTATAAGTTGTTTTCTAAAGTAGATTCAGACATTTGTGTAATAATGAGATGCCCTTGGCTGATATTAACGGGATGCTTCATTACAGAATTAGTCGTAAGTGCTTTATTAGTATAGAGCAGTCTAACTTGTTAAATAAAGACACGCTCTGCAGCAGAGCATAGGATGCTGAGACCTCTGCCACGTCCCTTCACCTGGCTGCACTCCTGCTAGCCAGGACTTTGCACTTGGGTTCTCCAGACTCTGCATGATGGCTCTATTTCAGCACTCAGGTCTCCTCTAAAACCTGCTGCCCCCTTGGTGAGGCCTTCCTTTACTACGCAATATAGATGAACCTCTCTTCTCACCGTGCCCCTACACCAACCTCCCTCATGTAGAGCAGTGGTTTTCAAACGTTAGTGTCCCAGGAGAACTTAGGAAAACACAGGGTCTGATTCAGTGGGTCTAAGGTAGGGCCAGAGAATGTGCATTTCTAACAAGTTCCCAAGGGATGCCAAGAACCACTAATAGAATATGACAGATGCTGGAGACTGCAAAGGTTTGCATCCTGATTCTGCTACGTACTGGCTGTGTAACCTTGGGCAAGTGACCTTTCTGTGCTTCAGTTTTCTCACCTGCAAAGTAGGGATAATCACACCCACCTCACTGGGGTTGAGGATCAAATGAATTAATCCGTATAAAGTGTTTAGAACCATGTGTGGCCTATCAATACATGTTAGCTATTATGATTTATTTTATTCACGTCACTTACTCCTACCTAAAAGTATTTTGTTCATTTGCTTGTTTACTTCTTTGCTTGTCTCACTGCAGTAGAATAGAAGCTCCACAAAGCCAGGGGGCTGTCTGTCTTGTTCACTACTATATCCTCAGCATCTAGAAAAATTCCTGGCACATTGTGGGTGCTTAATAAATATTTTATACCTAGATAAGTATATTTTAATAGGGAATTCAGGGAGGCTAACTGTATGAAGAACGAAAGACCACAAGCTGTAATTAAAGATCTTTGAATGATGGTTGTGGTGATTTTTAAAAGAAGGACTTTTAACCTTCTTTAAATACTAATGGGAAGACCATTTATCAGGACTTTTTCTCTTTGTTGTCTCTGTGGAAAGAATGGTTGAATTATCTAAATTATTCTAAAAAGGAGGGTGAACGATCCATATAAAACTTGAAAATGCTTCTGAAAGAGGTAAAAAGAAGACTTGAATCAATGGAAAGGCATGACATGTTTTTGGACAAGAGATTTAACATCATGAATATGTCAATTCTCTCTAAATTAATGTATGAATTTAACATTATTTCTCCCCCCGCAAAAAAAAGTTATTGGTAGGATTCTTATTTGAAGTTGACAATCTGATCCTAAAGAATATATAGAAAAATAAACAAGCTAAAATACCCAGCAAAAATTCCAGAAAAGAGAGATATTTATCTTAAGGATTAAAACGCACAAAAACATCAAAAGGGTAAGATATAGTACTTGAATACATACAGTAATTTGGTACATGATAAAGATGGCATTTCAAATCATTGGGAATGATAGATTTGCTCTTTTGATTGGCAAAAACGAAAGATTACTCATATCCAATGAAGGAGAAGATGTGGAGATATATGTAGGGACATAAACTGGCATGATCTTTTTGAAGAGTAATTTCTTAGGATCTCTTTTTAGGAATACGCATATGCCTTAACTCAACAATTCCACCTTTAGATATCCATTCACCTAAAGAACCACTTGTGAGCCAGCCCTGGTGGTCTAGTGGTTAAGATTTGGTGCTCTACCACCATGGCCTGGGTTATTTCCTGGTCGTGGAACAACACCACCTGTCTGTCAGTTGTCACATTGTGGCAGCGGCTCATAGAGAGAACTAAACTAACAACTAGGATACATAACCGTACACTGAAGCTTTTTTAAAAAAGAAAAGAAATAGAAAAGAATCACTTGCACCTGTGCACAAAGAGGATGTGGAGAATTATTTGTAGTGGGGAAAAAATGGATTGTCCTTATAAATAAAGTATTGTGCATCTATACTGTGGCATACAATGTAGCAATTAAAATAAATAAGGCTAAAAATGAAAAGAAAAAAAGAAGCAGATGTCATCATATTAATGCCCCACTACATAAACAGGTAATCCTCTTTTCTTCCAGTTCAGAAGAACACTCATTACATGATGATCTTTGATGCCTTTGTTATTCTGATATGCTTGGCTTCAATGATCCTATGCATTCGATCTGTGATTCGAGGATTTCAGCTTCAGCAGGTAGGACTTGTTGCTTTCTAGGAATGCTATGAACATGTTGATTGACAGAGAAATTCACTGTGCCTCTCTTCTTTTCCCTAAAGGAATTTGTCAATTTTTTCCTCCTGCATTATAAGAAGGGAGTTTCTGTTTCAGATCAAATGGAATTCATCAATGGATGGTACATTATGATTATTATTAGTGACATATTGACAATCAGTGGATCAATTCTGAAAATGGAAATACAAGCTAAGGTAAAATTTTCCCTATTTATGTCAATTATTAGTGTCGTATTTACACTAGCAGTAATTTCTTTTCCCAGAATGTGAGAATTTGCAGAGTAAATGATTTCTTTCAAATTTTGTAGCAAGTAAACTTAAAATCAGTAACAGTAATTTTCTTAAATCTAGTTAGGAAATCTCTTAGGCAGAGTTCTTTAAAGTGTGATCCACAAGCTTCTGCATCAGCATCCTTTGGGTACCTCAAGTTAGATCTACTGAATCTGAACTCTGGGGGTGGGGCCTGTGAATTCATACATACATCCAAGTAACTAAGGTAAGAGGTGTTTTTTGTTGTTCTTTCGAGAAATGTCAGAAACTTCAACAACAATAAAAAGTGTAGGGCTGGGTGAGAAAGTGAGGCCAAGCTGCTATTGTGGGAGTGCTTGCTGCTGTTTCCTCTGTCTATTCAAATTGAGAATGTTCCCACTTTCTTACTTTTCCCACTGGTGTGCTACAAGATTTTCCATTTCAAGTTAGGATTAACCCAGTCTAGAAATCAACCCTCCCCCCAAAGCAAAAATCAAATTAAAAAACTAATATTGTTCAAATTTATATTTTTCTAGCCTTCACTGCAACTAAGTATGAGAATGAGCCACCTGGGGAGCCTGTTATGATTCAGATTCCTGGGCACAGACCCCCAAATGCAATGGCTCAGAAGAGCCATTTCTCCCTCATTTAATAGTCAGGGCAGGTTTCTCAGGTTGGTGAGTCACTCAGCTCCACGCAGTTATTCAGGGACTCATTTCCTCCCATCTTGTTTCTCTGCCAGCATTAAGGGTTGATGCTGGGTTGCCTCAGAAACAGATTGCAGCCTGTGGGAAGCGAAAACATGGTATGAAGGTAGCTCTCCCACAGTCTTATAGCCTTGGCTCAGGAGTGGTGGCCTTCATTTCTGTTCACATTTCATTGGAGAGAGAATTTAGTCACATCTAACTGCAAGGAGCACTGGGGAATACAGCCCAGACACGTGCCTCAGAAGGAGAGAATGGGTTTAGGTTGACATCGAGCAGCTGCCACCATATGCAACTGTGGTATATATCATTGGAATCGGGGTTTAACTTTAGGGATAACAAAGAGAGGAGTAAGGGGAGATTTGCAGTAGATCTTTATTTTTACCAACCTCAACTATCATTAACCTGAATAAGCTCTTAATGGTGTCCAACAATCTTTCTACATTTTTCTAGACCATTCACTCCCCTGTCTTACAGACAGTTATTTCATATGTTCTCATCCCTTCTGAAACCTCTAACACCCCTGCCCCATCCTCACTCTCAGCTGATGACCTTCTTTCCTATTTCATAAAAACAATAGAAAAATATAGAAATTCCACAAACCTCTGCTTCATTTATCTACCTACCAGCATCAGTGCCCATATACTCTGCTTGTTCTCTGTTCCTGTGGATATATTGTTTAAGGTACTATCTAAGGCCAACTCCTCCACGTGCCTACCAATGCCATCCCCGCCTGCTTACTCAAGAATGTGGTTCCAGCTGTTCTTCCTTTTCTCACACATCATCAATTTCCCATTCTCAACCACGCCATTTCTATTAGCATGATTTTTTCTCCTTTCTAAAAAGACAAAATCTCAACCTATTTCTCCCTTCAGTTACTTTCCCATTTCTCTGCTCCCCTTTGTATAGCAAAAGACCTCAGGAGAGTAGTTAATCTTGTTTCTGATTCTGCTCCTTCCATTCTCTCTTCTATCTGTTCCAATTGGGCTGCCTTGCCACTCCATTGGAAAGTGTTCTTTCCAGTGACCTCCCATGTTGCTAAGTGCAACAATCAATTTTTTATCCTCATCTTGACCTATCAGCAGCTTTTAACACTGCAAGCCCTCCCTCTTGGTTGATGCCATTTTTCAGTGGGCTACCACTTACCTGATTTTCCTCCTAAATTAAACATTGGTCTTCTGACTTTCCTTTGCTGGCTCCCTCTCATCTCACCAACCTATTACAGCAAGAGTGCTTCAAGGTATAGGCTTGGGCATCTCTTTTCTGCCACTGTCTTGGTAATCTCATCCTATCTCATGTCTTTAAATAGTATCTATTTGCCAATGATTTCCAAATCTATATGTCCAGCTTGGAATTCTTCCCCGAACTCCAGTCTCAACTATCTAAGTGTCTGTTCCATATCGTCACTTGGATGTCTACCTGGCCTCTGAAATTTAACATACCTAAAACAGAATCTCTAAAATCCTCACCTCTACAGTCCAAACCTGCTTCTCCATGGCCTTTCTAACTTCAGTTAATGGCAACTCTTTTCAGTTGCTCAAGACAAAAGTGATAGATTCATCCTTGACTCCTCTCTTTCACCAATCCCTTCTCCCCCACATCTAATCCAAGAGGAAATTCTATTGGTCTACCTTCAAAAATCACCCATCACCTCCACCATCACCAGCCTGGTCCAAACCATCATCAGCTCTCACCTACGTTATTGCAATAGGCTTCTCGCTTCTCCAACAATCTGCTCTCAACCATAGGGGCCAACACTTGATCATATCACTCCTGTTCAGAGCTCTCAAATCTCCCCAACGTATTCAGAGTAAAAGACAAGGTTGTTAAATTACCCACAAGGTCCTACACTACCTGCTCCCTTACCTCTGTGACTCCATATTCTTCCCTTTGCTCAGATTCACTATCTTGCCAGGCGCCCTTCTGCTTTGGGTCTTTGCACTTTCTGGTTCCTGTGCCTGGAAAGCTCTTCCTCTCGATTTCTGCTTGGCTTGTTCTCTCACTCCTTCAGGCATTTGCTCAAATGCCACCTTTTCAGTAAGACATTCCCTGATCACCCTATTTAATGCAACCCCATGGCCATTCCTTATTCCTTCCCCTGAATTTTCTCCTCAGCACTTACCTTTAGCTAATCTACCAAGGGTTTTGATAATTTATTTCCATTGTCTCTCTCCCCACCCTAGAATGTAAGCTTCATGAGGGCAGGGGGTTTTGTCTGTTTGTTGACTGCATTGTCCTTAGCACCTAGAACAGGGCCTGACTCACAGCTACCCAATAAATATTTTTTACCCAAATGAATTTCTGCCATATAATCTGATTATTTTCTTCCACTCTGTTTCAGAGTCTAACAAGCTATGACGTCTGTAGCATACTTCTTGGGACTTCTACCATGCTTGTGTGGCTTGGAGTCATCCGATACCTCGGTTTCTTTCAGAAGTATAATGTAAGGAATTCCATGGATCTCCATGCTGTTGGTGTTTCCCTTTCAAAGTTATTGCACTGCTTTTGCTGAAGGACAGAGGAATTCTTATGACCTCTCTTACTTTTGCAGCTCCTTATTCTGACCCTTCAGGCAGCTCTGCCCAATGTCATGAGGTTCTGCTGCTGTGCAGCTATGATTTATTTAGGCTATTGCTTCTGTGGATGGATTGTGCTGGGGCCTTACCATGAGAAGGTACTGATAACCAACTTTTTTTCTGTTCCTATGAAGCTTTTAGAATAGTGCCAGTAGTCTGTTATCCTTTTAAAATGATCTCCTTTTATTTTGTGATTCAGCCTTAAAATGCTGAAGGTAGTATAGTCGTCCCTCAGTATCTTTGGGAGATTGTTTCCAGGACAGCCCCCCATACCCAAATCCAGGGATGCTCAAGTTCTTTAGATAAAATTTGCATATAACCTATGCACATCCTCTTGTATACTTTAGATTGCTTGTAATACCTAATACAACGTAAATGCTATATAAATAGTTGTTATACTGTATAGTTCAGGGGATAATGACAAGAAAAAAGTCAGTACAGATGCAACCATTGTAGGCAGATGTGGAACTGAGGGCCGACTGTATATCCATCAGTATGTTTATAAACCGGTAAGTGTGACCAACTTGAGAGGATAATTGATTCGCTCAACTGCCTCAACTCTGCTTATGGAGTCTGTCAGATAACTAAGTCCTTTTTGTCACCAGCTACATCAAATTTGATTCATCAATGTATATTCAAGTAGGCTATTTAGGTAAGCCTTCCCAAGATGTGACCTTATTTTAAAAAGTAATACAGAGAGAAACTTGTGGAAATACTTGAAAATTTTGTTACCAGAGTTCTAATCTTGACTATAAGGCCATTATCTTAACTGAATGAACTTTATGAGGAGAAGCATGAGCCTGCAATGTTGGGACCTGGGTATTTCTGCAGAAGCCTTTAAGGATCTCTTTCTATGAAGGTAATGGAGGGGGGTGCGGTGGGTAAGGCTTGACTCAGAAGATCGCTGTGGGTGTGGACCAGCCCCTCTGCCTTCAAATCATTCTGCTTCTATTAAGAGGAGCATCAAGGAGAGGAGCTGCTTGTCTCAGGAAAAATAGTAGGCTTACACACGTTATGCATGTCACAAAGCAAAGCTTGTAGTTACCTCAGGTAATTTATTTGAAAGGGGTAACTTGGGATACCTGGCCCCATTATTTATTTATTTGTTTGTTTTAGAAATTATTTTATTGAAGTCTTATTGGCTTATACTGGTCCCATTATTTTTAAATATGGTGTCATGAATGAACTCTCCAGTCAGAAGGAATATGAACTAAAGTGAACATTTCTCTTTTCTTCTTTTTCCAGTTTCGTTCTCTGAACACAGTCTCTGAGTGCCTTTTCTCTCTGATAAATGGAGACGATATGTTTGCCACGTTTGCAGAGATGCACCAAAAAAGTTACTTGGTCTGGCTGTTTAGCAGAATTTACCTCTACTCGTTCATAAGCCTCTTTATATATATGATTTTAAGTCTTTTCATTGCACTGATCACTGACACATACGAAACAATTAAGGTAGGTTCATCAAGAGCCATCAGCAGCAGCATTTTTCTAGAACTTGTAGAGAGACAGTAAAATATAGTACTTAAAGGGGAAGGGAATTGATGGAATGTTCATTTCTTCAGGGTAGAGAAGAAGGACTTCAGTTTTAGATACTGAGAAACAGAAATGAAGGAGAAACAGCATTTCTAGAACGTTGGAAGTTTTGTCTCTAAGTAATTGTGCTTTTGCAAACAAGCTTTCTAGTCATTTATTGGAATTATAAGGATCAGTAGGTATTGAGTGAGTAAAACAGATGGCATTTGAGAAAGACAAAATTTTGTGGGGAACTTTTAAAATCCAATTTTCATGAAGAAAAATTGGCCTTTTCACTTGGAGTGTGCTGTAACTGAACCCATTACCCTTTACAAGGCCCTGTGTGGCACTATCCCAGAAGCCTGGTCTCCAGAACAGGGGAGGGATTGATGTGTCAAGTACCAGCCATGTGTGCTTTATACGGCCGGAAGCATTATTTGAAAAGCTGTTATCATTCATATTGTCATTCACCTGGGATATTTTAAAAATCAGTTTGAGCCCTTTGAAATGTGGAGAGGCAGAATAAATACCCACATTTATTTAAATTTCTAATAACCTTATACCATCAGGTATACTATTGGCATAGATACTTTCGCTTGAAGACTTCTCTTTCTGGTATGAGAAAGGTAATGAGACATGAGGCCATGTGAATGGTCCTGGGACAAAGAGAAGGCCATCAGGAGTTGATGGATTATGAGTTGATAATTGTGAGTAGCTTACACATGAAGCCAGGGCCATGACCTCATTCTTACTGAATCAGATTTCAGGAACTGACTTTCCTCAGTACTTGCTTGGCTGTGTGCTTAAAGTCACCAAGGCGACTGGGAAAGAATTTAGTTGAACCTGTCCAAATCCTCTAAAAACTCACCACCCTGACTCTGCATGCAGAGAAAACCATATGTTATTCAAAGGTGACATCAAGATCTCTGAGAGTAACATGAGTTGACAATTCTCCATGACACAAGCCTGACACTCATGGTTCACGTGTTAACTTCTTTCCATGGGCTCAGAGCACTTCCAAATGGGCAAGCTAAGTTATTTTTGATCCTTTCTGGTCAGGGTACATTCTAGACCTCTTAGATCCCAAACGGATATAAATATGAGGCTCTTAAACAAACCTGTCTGTCCAGAAGAGAGACTCCAAAAGGGTGTGCAGACTGGAAAGGACCCTTACAGCATTCAGATCTTTTCCCAGATACCTGGACTAGCTCAGGAGCATCCAGGGCTGTGCTGAAGTCTTCAGAGGAACGCTAGGTATGCCCACCCCGCAGCCCCCAACAACATCATAGTTAATTTACTAGACAGGCGCTTTAACCAACTAAGCCACAGTGCCGCAGCCTGCATCATTGTTAATTTAGATCAGCTAGGTTCCTTGTGGCCTGAACCAGGTTCCATCTGAGGTGTCTGCTTCACAATGGCCTGGAAGTCATGGGGTGCAGGGCAAAGTAGTGACAGAGGTTCTTAGACTTGGGACAACACTGGCTGTATTCTCCGTGAAAAGAATCAGACTCAGATTTGGCATGCCCATTTTGGGTTGAACCAGACCCACAAAAGAGAGCCCAGGAGGGCACTCCAGAATCCCAAGCCCACTTGACCTTAGCCAAACCTAAGAGTGGCTCTAGAGGCTACAGCTTCCTGCAAATACTTCGGAAGTGACTAACTATCCCTCTAGGAAGATCCCCTCCCTTACCAAATGATCTATTTTGAATTTGGAATAAACTTTTTTCAAGGAGTTTATTAACTAGAGCTTTTTTTATTCTTCTGTATAGCATTACCAACAAGTTGGCTTCCCAGAGACTGAACTTCATACATTTATAGCAGAGTGCAAAGATCTACCCAATTCTGGAAAATACAGAATAGAAGGTGACCCTCCAGTATCAATATTCTGCTGTTGTAAAAAGTAGCTGTCAGGCTGATCTGTGCTCTAGAGGAAAATGTGACGTGTAACTGAGTTGGGAGACTCTCTGGATATTTTAAGATCAGGTGCAGCATGTTCAAAGAGTATTATTTTGAGCAAATTGATAGCTGTAACTCATCAAGAACTATGTTTATATCTTAAAAAGCAATATTTAATGTCTTTTCTGCTTTATGTTTATCTTTGGTGAGGGAAGCCATTGGATTCTTGTTCTTTCTTGTTTATTTTGTCATAGCTTTAGAACGTGCTCTCTGCTCCTTTTTATTCTCACTCTTACACTCTTGCTTCTGGCTATTCTGACTGTGTTGATTGTGTCATCAGTGGAAAACATTGCCTGGTCTGACAGTGACTTTGGACAACTCACTAATCCTGCCTGGACCATTCTCAGGGGTCCATCCCTGAGAGGGAGGAAATGGTTGCTGTATATCCAGGAATCACTGAATTTTAAAATCTTCTCTTAAAGGGCAGAATAAGAAAGAAGCAAGCATCACCAGCTAACAATACAATATTTGCTTCTGAAGGACAACTGTTATTTCATGCTATTTATAGTTCTGGAGAGGATCAGGTTTTTTAGTATTCATGTATAAGTTTTCTCTCCTCCAGTGTTAAAGTACAGAGTTGAAAGAGTATCCTATACATATATGAAAACTAAAGCACATACCAAATGTATATTCAATCCCACAACGATAATTTTATTAGTAGTTGCATGCCTTTGCGAAAACTGTGATGTACGGTGCCTATCATAGGCATATTTAGTCTCACAGAAAAGAGTAGTGTTTTGGGGTCAGGAGCTGTAGTTTCAAGGGAGAGGTTCTATAATTCACATTAAAAATGTTTTGGAAAACAATTATGCTCAAAATTTAAAAATAAGTGGAAAATGTATGCCTTAAAAAGACACAAAAACAAAGTCTCTACCTCCTGCATATTGCTGATTGGAAGTTTCAGGAATTTTCACAGCATGAACCTTGTTTTGTGTACTGTTTATTCAAATAGAAATGAATTCGATGATGGACAATAAAGGCTTTCTGAAAGCAAACTCCTTTTTTTTTTTTTTTAAGAAAACTGATTTGTTAATTTTTGATTTTGTTTTAAGGGCTAAATGAAGATAGCCGAGAGATACTGAAATCGTTTTATTTAACATAATAATGATCATAATAATGACTCCAGGTGTTGACATGTGAGGCTTTACAAGTATAAGGTATTTTTGTAGTATTTGTTGTAGCTTTTAAAAAAGAAAAAATCTAAACCTCTAAGTGAGTTTTTCTCTTTTTTAGCTTAGTTCTAAAATTCGTATCACAATCATTTTTAGAATTTACTAGAATGCAATGTGAATTTTGAAATCGTTTATCATCCGATACTTTCCTTTCCTTTTTGTGGGATTTTTGGATTAGCAATAATACTTTAATGGCAATAGGAAACCACTGAGCGAGTGTTGGACCTGGGGTTTTGCTTTGCCCTGAAGTCATTCTGTTCCTGCTGTGGAGTTACAGCTAGTGACTTGGCCCCTTCAAGTCTCTCTCCTGATTCTCCAAGCTTTCTGATTGTGACAGGAGTCCCTGATAAATTCCAAGGCCTACTTTTTAGTAATGATGCCCATGAGAGAATATCTCTACTATTTCCTGAACTGTCCCCAAACCAGTACAATGGCTTGATCTAGCTAGGCAGGTAAATTGTGGGCCAGTCATTTCAGTGTTCCCCTTATACGTATATATGCACTACACAGAACGTCAAGGTTATGGTAAGAAGAAATAGAGAATGGAAGTCACTTTACCTCCCAGGCTTGTAGACTTGGGGAACAAAGAGGAGATCGGGGCTGGACTTTGTTGGTGATGCCCATTTGTCTGGAGGTCAGGTTCTCTGCCTTCTTCCCCCGCCATAATGATTCTCAAGCTTGTGGACAGAAAAATCACTGGGGGATCTTGTTACAACTGTGGACGCCCAGGTAATACCAGCAGAGATTTCTAACGTGTCAAGTCTCGGGGAGAGCCCAGGAATCTGCATTTTTAGGAGGCGCACAAGGTGAATCTGATGCAAGTGATTTGTGGTGGCTGCATGGCCCAGAGCTGGACCAGGAACAGAGACATCCCTCTGTTGGGGCTACAAATAAGGAACTATCCAGAAGGCTCAAAATTCAGACTTGCCTTCTATTTTTTGATCACATTAGTCAAGAGAGAAACCCCAAGGAAGGGGGTTTATAGATGTCAAAATAGGTATTTTAAGATTTGTGTTGTCTGCTACAATCATTTTTAGGTAAACTTTGATTTTGCTGATGCTACATTTTATTCAAACAATTCAGATGGCATTTTCTTCGATCACTTTAATAAAGCTTTGAAATATCTAATACATATTGAGTTTTAATCTTTTTGTCCCAGCACACCATTTTCAAATCACATTAATACATGCAAAAAGGTGACAGATTAGAAGAAATAAAGATAAAATTCTCATTATTTGACGATATGATGATCTACATAGGAAACCTAATAGAATTAAAAAGTTCTCAAAGCTCATTAGAGGATTCAGCAAGGTTGTTGGCTGTAAGATCAGATTAACAACTCTCTAAGCTTCCTCTCCACTATTAATCATCTAGAACATATAACAGAAATAATTCACAACAGAAACAAAAATCATAAACTATCCAGCAATTATCCTAAGGTAGAAAGTACAAGGCCTTCCGGGAGAAAATTCTTAAAACTCCGTTATAGGACATAAAAGAAGATCCAAATAATTGCAGAGATGATAATTCATGAATAGGGGCAACTTAGCACAGTAAAGAGTCAATTCTCTTCAAATTAATTTATATATTCAACATAGCAATATGAATTCCAGGTGCTTATTTTGAAACTCAAAAATTGAATTCTAAAATTCATATGACAAGATCTATATGAGGAAAACCACAAAACTCTTATGAATGAAATGAAGGAAGAATTAAGTAATTGGAGAAATATTCCATGTCTGTGGATAAGAAGACTCAATATTGTCAAGATATCAGTTCTTCCAAACTTCATCTGTAGATTCAACACACTCCCAATCAAAATTCCAGTGATATATTTTGTGACTATTGACAAACTGATTCTAAAGTTTGTATGGAGAGGCAAAAGACCCAGAACAGCCAGCATAATATTGAAGGAAAAGAACAAAGTTGGAAAACTGACACTACCAAACATTAAGACTTACCATAAATCTACGGTAATCAAGAAAGTGAAATAATACTTAAATAGATCAATGGAATAGAATAGAGAGCCCAGAATTAGATCCACATAAATATAGTCAACTGATCTTTGACAAAGGAGCAAAGGCAATACAATGAAGCAAAGACAGTCTTTTCAACAAATAGTGCTGGAACAACTGGATATCTACATGCAAAAAAAAAAAAAGAATCTAGACATAGACTTTACACCTCTCACAAAAATTAACTCAAAATGTGTTTATATATAGATATATACATAAAGCGTAAAGCTATAAACCTCCCAGAAGATAACATAGGAGAAAATCTAGATGACCTTGGGTTTGGTGACAACTTTTTAGATACAACACCAAATGCATAATCTACAAAAGACAAAGTTGTTAAGATAGACTTTATTAAAATAAGAACTTCTGCTCTGCAAAACACACCATCAAGAGAATAAGAAGACAAGCCAAAGATTGGAAGAAAATATTTGCAAAAGACATATCTGATAAAGGACTGTTACACAAAGTATACAAAGAACTCTTCAAAGTCAACAATAAGAAAACAAACGATTAAAAAATAGGCCAAAGATCTGAATAGATACCTCACTAAAGAAGATATACAGATGGAAAATAAGCATATGAAAAGGTGCTCAACATCATATGTCATTAAGGAATTGAAAATTAAAACAACAATGAGTCACCACTACACACCTAGTAGAATGGCCAAAATCCAAAACACTGACAACACCAAATGCTGCCGAGGATGTGGAGCAACATGAACTTTCATTTGTTTCTGGTGGGAATGCAAAATGGTACAGCCACTCTAGAAGAGAGTTTGTCAGTTTCTTGAGCAAAACTATTCTTTTAACCATACAATCCAGCAATTGTGCTCCTTGGTATTTATTGAAATGAGTTGAAAACTTATGTCCACACAAAAACCTACACGTGGATGTGTATAGCAGCTTAATTCATAATTGCCAAAAGTTGGAAGCAACCAAGATGTCCTTCAGTGGGTGATGGATAAATAAACTGTGGTACAATTAGATAGTAAAAGACCATTTAGCACTAAAAAGAAATATGCTATCAAGTCACAAAAAGACCTGGAGGAAACTTAAATGCATATTATTAAGCGAAAGAACCCAATCTGAAAAGGCTACATACTGTGTGATTCCAACTAAATGACATTCTGGAAAAGGCAAAACTATGGAGACAGTAAAAAGATTAGTGGTTACCAGGGGCTGGGGGAGGGGAAGAATGAATAGGCAGTTCACAGAGCATTATTAGTGCAGTGTTTTAATCCTTTTGGACTGTTATAACAGAATACCATAAACTGGGTGGCTTATAAACAACAGAAATTTATTTCTCAGTTCTGGAGGCTGGGAAGCCCAAGATCAAGGCGCCTGCAGATTTGGTGTCTGGTGAGAGCCTGCTTTCAGGTTCATAGACAGCTGTCTTTTGCTGTGTTCTCACACGGTGGAAGGGGGCAAGGGAGCTCCCTGGGACCTCTTTTATGTGGATACTAATCCCATTCATGAAGGATCAACCATCATGACCTAATCATCTCCCAAAGGATCTCCACTTCCAAATACCATCATATTAGGCATTAGGATTTAACATATGAATTTTGGGGGGACACAAACATTCAGTCTATAGCAGGTAATGAAACTATTCTGTATGATACTATAATGGTGGATACATGTCATTATACATTTGTCAAAACCCATAGACTGCACAATGAGAGTGAACCCTAATGTGAAGTGTGGACTTTGGGTGATAATGTGACAATGTAGGCTCGTTGACTGGAACAAATGTACCACTCCGGTGTGGGATGTTGATATTAGGGAAGGCTGTGTATGTGTGGGGGAGGGAGTACATGGGAACTCTCTGTACTTTCTGCTCAGTTTTGCTGTGAACCGAAAAGTGCTCTAAAAAATAAAGTCTATTTATAAAAATTAAAGTAAGAAAATTTCATGACATGTGGAACACAATCACTCTCTTTTGTTTACATATTGTCTGTGACTGCCTTCACACTACAATGGTGGAGTTGAGTAGTTGCAACAGAGACAGTACAGCCCCCAAAGCCCAAAATATTTACTATCTACTATCTGGCCCTTTACAGAAGAAGGTTTGCCAACCCCTGATTCATAAGGTAGTTTGCTGAAAACTGATTTAGTTACCTAGAAAAATTGAGCTGCCTTCCTATCTCCCACCATATGTGAATTTGAAGTACAATGGACTTTGATATGAAGGATAAAAATAAAATACTATAGAAAATGCAGAAGAATATTTGTGACCTAGGGGTAGAAAGAGACTTCTTAAGATCACAAAAGCACAAGCCAGAAGGTTTAATATCCTTAATTTTGGTTTCACAGGATCAAAATTAAGGGTTTCCATCCCAAGAAGAACACCATGAACAAAGTTAGGAGAGAGGTGAAGACTGGAAGAAAATATTTATAATGTCTAAAACTGGCAGGGGACTGATATCTAGAATACACAAAGACTACTTGCATATTAACAAAAACCGGAAAGGATGTGAACAGTAAGGAAATAAAAGGCTCCACTTTGTTCTCCTATTTTATTCCATTCTTCCTCCACATAAACTTCTCAGTGAATATTGCTCTTGTCCACCTATCCCAGAAAACTGTTGCATTTTTACTATTAGCCTGTCTTACATTTTCTGGATGGCTTTTTAAAAAATTCCCCTTTAACACTTCATAGGAAGGCAACCTGCTAGAGAAATTCAAGATCTCCGATGTAAATTCAAAGTGCCATGTTATAGTACACTATCGAGCAAAAGATTCTGTATTATTTGGTTACTGGTCATTACAAATTTGAGTCAGGGTATATAACTTTAAAAAATTGTTAATGTTTTTTATTTTACTGAGGCCATATTGGTTTATAACACTGTATAATTTCAGGTGTACATTATTACATATCAATTTCTGTATAGCCTGCATCGTCCTCACCACTAATAGTCTATTTTCATCCGTCACCATATATATGCGCTCCTTTACCCCTTTTGCCCACTCCCTGACCCCCTTCTCTGGTAACAACTAATTTGTTCCCTTTGTCCATGTGTTTGTTTATCTTCCACATATGAGTGAAATCATGTGGTGTTTGTCTTTCTCTGTCTGGCTTATTTTGCTTAACACATACCCTCAAGGTCCATCCACGTTGTTGCAAATGGGACGATTTTGTCTTTTTTATGGCTAAGTAGTATATCATTGTGTATATATACCACATCTTTTCATCCATTTGTCAGTTGATGGGCACTTGGGTTGCTTCCATATCTTGGCTATGGTGAATAATGCTGCAATGAACACAGAGGTGCACAGATCTCTTTGTATTGTTCATTTCATGTTCTTTGGGTAAATACCCAGTCGTGGGATAGCTGGATCATATGGTATTTCTATTTTTAATTTTTTTGAGAAATTTCCATACTGTTTTCTATAGTGGCTGCACGAGTTTGCATTTCCACCAGCAGTGTATGAGGGTTCCCTTTTTCCACATCCTCTCCAATACTCATTATTTCTTGTCTTGTTAATTATAGCCATTCTGACAGGTGTGAGGTGATATCTCATTGTCGTTTTGATTTGTATTTCCCTAATAATTAGTGATGTTGAACATCTTTTCTTGTGCCTGTTGGCCAACTGTATAGCTTCTTTGGAAAAATGTCTGTTCTCATGCTCTGCCCATTTATTGATCAGGTTGTTTGTCCTTTTTTTGAGTTGTATGAGTTATTTATATATTTTTGAAATTAACCCCTTGTCAGATATATGATTTGCAAATATTTTCTCCCAGTTGGGAGGTTGTCTCTTTGTTTTGTTCATGGTTTCCTTTGCCTTGTAGAAGCTTTTTAGTCTGATGTAGTCCCATTTGTTTATGTTTTCTTTTGTTTCCCTTGCCTAAGTAGACATGGTATTTGAAAAGATGCTGCTAAGACCTATGTCAAAGAGTGTACAGCCTATATTTTCTTCTGGGAGTTTTATGGTTTCAGGTCTTACATTCAAGTATTTAATCTATTTTGAGTTAATATTTGTATATGGTGAAATATAATGGTCTACTTTCATTCTTTTGCATGTGGCTGTCTAGTTTTCCCATCACCATTTATTGAAGAGACTTTCCCTTCACCATTGTATGTTCTTGGCTCCTTTGTCGAAGATTAACTGTCCA